TTACAAGTTTTGGAACATTTTAGTCATTAAAAATAATTTAAGGTATGCCTCCAGCACCACTGTACAGAAGTCCATTAAACTGGAATGATGGCACTTTGTTGCTGATGTTGTTATGTAAAGCCAATGGTTTCAGTTTTTCTGTCGGGGAACTTGTAACCCTGGAGAATTCTTCCAAGGATTGTCCCCTGGTGATCAGAGGCAAACAAAATAGTACTCAGAGCATCAGACACGTCTTTCACGGAGTCACGGAACCACATCAAGCGTTCAGAGACACAGTATTTTCACAGGAGAAACCAGAGCAAAATGCATTTCATTTTAAGCAGGCAGGCAAACCATTCACAAATTAACATCTATTACAAACCACATGACACACACTCATCTTCGCTGCTTTTGAGCATCCTGTGTGAAAAGCAGGGCTAATGTGGCAGGGGTGCCCCAAAGGAGCTGCCCCTTCTCCTGTCTGCCGACCAAACTCCAGTGACTGCTAATTGCACCTTTCAGTCAACAGCCGTTCTCTAACTGTCATGCTGTAACACTATGGGACCAGACTTCACAACTTGAATTGCCCTGATTATTACTGACCAACGTTGAACTTGTAATAAACGTGGACCTTCCTCACAATTTACTCCACAATAAAAAGCTAAAGACTAGTGTTATTTTTATGTGGAAACCTATTCATCCACAGAAATACTCCTGCTACCGAATGGCTAAATGGCCCTTCCCGTCTCCTGAAGAAGACCTTTATCTTTTAAAATCCAATCAGAGTTACCAACAAAATAGAATTTATCATAAAGGTTTGTTTGCTAGTGCATTCAACAAATAGGGTGTGTATTGCACCAGTCTCTCTTTTGGGGGCTTGAAATAAAACAGTGGGTAAAAAAATCCCATGCCTTTAAGCTTTCTATTGATCCCCAACCCCAACCCACCCCAAGTAGAAATAACAAAGGAGCCCTGGGGGGTGTCGTGGTTACGAATTGGGCTACTAAACACAAGGTCATTAGTTTGAAACCACCTGTCTCCCTTTTGGGAGAAAGATGAGGCTTTCTATTCTTCTAAACAGTTCCAGTCTCAGAATCCCACAGGGGAAGTTCTACCCTGCCCTACAGGCTCATCATGGGTCAGAATCAACATGACAGCAATGGGCCATGAGAAGTCGTCCCTAGGTGGTGCAAAGGGTGAATGCATTCCACTGTTAACTAAAAGGTTGGAGGTTTGATCCTACCCAAAGGTGCCTTGGAAGAAAAGACTGGTGAACTACTTCTAAAAAGTCAGCCAGTGATTAAAAAATAAAAACAAAACCCAGTGGAGCTTAAGTTCTACTCTGGCATGTGTGGTAGCCGTGATTCGCAGCCCACTCAGGGGCGAAAAGCATGGGCAACAGACCCACAAGTCCAACAAGGAAGCCATTTAAAAGGTGCAGAACACTTCTCCTTGAGTGGAGCTGACTGTCACCAGAGCACAGTGCCAGTGGCACACTCCCAGCAAGAGGACGCTCAGAAGAGAGGCAAGGCCCCGCATGTGGAACACAAACATCGCCACACCCACCCACACTCGGACATGTCCAGCTCTCTCACAGTACAAAGCAGGAGGCAGCATTTGATAAACGCGAACGCTCACCCTCCAACCTTCCAGCGAGGCTGAGCAGGGAGGGGCTCCCGCTGAGTCTGGAGGGAGACCGACGTCAAAGCAGACTGCCGGCTCATCCACGCCACTGCTACCCAGTCCTCCCGACCTCGTCCCATCGGACGTGCAAACTCACCGTCTGTGTTGCCGCTTCGCCCAAGCTTCCAGCTGAAGAACTGGTGGCTAAAGAACACAAAGGTCACCTGCCACCTGGAAAAGCTGTGACGAGACTCAAAACCACCAACTACACACACTGCGAAGAAAGGGAAACCAGCATGCCGCCTCCCAAGAACACCAGCACAGTTGCTGGCAGAGCAAGGCTCTCCAAGGTCATCGCTTTTCATTTCCGTTGCCCCTTAGCACCTGCCTTTGTCTCCAGTCTCTTTTACGAGACTCCAAACCCCTCAAAGAGGGGGAACTGCCAAATTCCTCTCGGCACAGCCAATGGCCGTGGAGGTCACAGACCACAGGTGTGAGAGGCAACACGAACTGAGCCTAAGTCAGACTCTAATGACCTTGGCCTTGATAACGCACGCTGAGCTTAGGGCATTCCTGGTCTTCTAACATCATCTGCCCATGTTTTCCACATCACGGCCAAAACCGAAGGCAGCCCAGAGAAGATGAGGCTTTTTTCCTTTCTTTTTTAAGAAAAAGATTACATTTGGAAAAAATACTTTTCATACACCTTTTCAAAGTACAAGAGATCCGTGTAGAGCACCTTAATGGCACATCTCAGATACAGTGATATAGCATTGTAGCAAAATCCATTATTCCTGCTACTATGCCTTCCGTGCCACGCTATCATTCAACTACAATAGACATCATGCCATAGAGAATGATTTACAACACTGACTGCATCCTGATACCCACCGTCTTCCACCTCAGAAACACAAAAGTAAAAATCAAACCTGCTCTCCCGAGTTTTCGGAAGGGCGGGTATCGGCACATTTTTCTGTTCTTCACACAGCGGTGAGGAGTAGGTCAACACAGGTCCCAGAGTCAGAAGTCAACTTTGAGGTTCCTGAGGATGAGTCACTTCAGCAGAGTGCGAATATTTTAAGAATTAAAAAAAAGCAAGGTCGACACATTCCATTGTTAAGAACTTGCTATAAAATGTAAACAGGATGTGAGGGGACTTCAAAAGAATTCATGGAAAAAAAACCATGATTTCTTGATTCCATTTTCCCATGAGCTTCTTGAAGCCCCCTTTGGGATTGAGGATGGAGAGTATGGTCAGATGCTAAACTGGCCTTGAGGTTCCTTCCACATGGCCTTGAATCTGATACTGTGTGACAATACGTTAAAACGGATGCTGAAAAGAGGTTAAGTAGACATAAAATCACCTGCGAAGTTGGTTTACTTGGTGTTCTGGGAACACCGGGGTACGTGTCATTTATGGGGTCTGATCATAGGTAAAGCTGGCCCTCCCCAGGTCTCTTACTGTGTTGAAGGGCTACTTCAAATGCCTCTGACAAGCAAGGGGAGAACGATAGAAAGCCCCTCTGAAAGTGATTAATTTCGTGCCTGCTGGGACCCCTAAGGGCTGTAGTGGGTTATGCACAGGGCTTGCTAACACCAAGACCAGCAGTTCGAATCCACCGGTGGCTCTGCGAGAGCACAATGGGGCTTTCTGCTCTCGTAAAGATTTCCAGCCTCGGAAACCCACAAGCCCACAAGGGCAGTCCTTCTGTGTCCTAAAAGGTCACCATGAGTTAGAATCGACTTGATGATAAGTTTGTTTTTTTTGGTTTGGTATGTTTAGCTAATGGAGCCCTAGTGGCACTGTTGGTTAAGCGCTGGACCAGTAACAGCCAGGTCAGCGGATCACATCCACTGGCCACTCCACAGGACAAAGGTGAGGCTACCTGCTCCTGTTAAGGTTGGAAGCCTCAAAAACCCTGTGTAAGGGTTACGCGGCTGGTGTAAGGGTTACGCGGCTGGCATCAACGTGATGGCAATGAGGTTGTTTGTTTGTTTGTGGTTTAGGCGTGTTTATATTATCACTACCACACTATGCACCGTCCTTCAGACTTGACCTCATTCAGTTTTCCATCAGAGTAGCACTTGGACCTGCTGCCCTTCAGAGCAGGGTGCAACAAATAGGGGTAGAGGATTTCGACTGGCCAAGGTTGACAAGTAACCATGCAAGGAGAAGCCGCGTGTACGAGAACCATGGCATCGGTCTTACTCTGCACGCCGGCCGCTGCCAGGAGCGAGCGGACCTCCGCCCCACGGTGAGCTGGTGAAGGGTTTTCTCACACAGTGGTTACTAAGGGCACAGGGGAGTTTCCTATGTAAGCACATTCTTATATGTTTATTATTGTTTCATAAAATAAAACAAAGGAAGCACACTTTACGGTCCTGCTTTCTAACAGCTCTGGGTTTCGTCCCCATCAACTGGATACCTCTCTGAGGCTTATGGCTCGCTGGTTTGGTTGACTCCTTCCATTGTCCCTTTCCCATCTCGCTCTCTGTGTGGTTTGTTTATCTCTGACTTGCTGCTTGTGGGGAGCCGATGAACTGTTTTTCAGGACATTCTTTTGACCACCATTTTCATCAGCGACCCGTGAGTGTAAGACAGAGCCAATGTCTCCACCTAGAACCGCTTGCTGCAGACCACTGTGAGCCTGGCTGAGGGGCTTCAGAAAAGATGGGTCGCACGCCACAGGAGTCACAGGTCTAAAGCGCAAGGGAAAAAACGCAAATCAGCAAGAAGAATCCACGAGTCTCTGTCGGACGTTCTCTCCGTGGTTTGCATTCGTTCCACTGTGTAGGTTCAGATCTGTCAAGATTGAAAACAAGAAGTGATGGCAGACATGCACACCTGCTCATAGGACTATCGGTACAAATCAGCTCTTTAGTGGTACATCTGTAAGCTAGTCTCAGCTTTATCACAGTTTGCTTCCAAGCCAAATTTCAAAGCCCAGTGAAATTAGTTTAAGGCCAACAGTTAAATCAATCCACACCCAGTTAGCTGTGCAAGGGATGGTCAGTCAGACAGAATGAGAACCAGCGGTACAGAGGGAAGAGCCAACGAGATGAGAGGAAATCAAGTGAGAGGGACAACGAGCTGGGGACTTGAGCAAGGGGACCACGTGGGACCGAGACTGAGTGGGAAGGAAGAGGGGACAAGGAGGAAAAGCGCAGACCCTTTCCTTCTTTAGCAGCACAAGACCTTCCCCCGTCTCTCTAGACTTAAGGCCAGTCTAGCAGAGAGTTTAACAACGGCGAGCAGGGTAGAGTCTTGATTATTCCTAAACAGTAGTGGTCCTAGCGCTGTGTGACCTCCCTCCGCCTCCTACCTTGGAGCTCAGCCAGCTGGTTCCCCCGCTCCTCGACCGCCGTGTCTGGAGCCAGCTTGGCCATTTTGCCATCCACAGCGTCCATCTTGATCATGCCAAGGTTCGTCAACAGAAGCATCGGGTCGATTCCCTGACAGTTGCTTTTGATATTCTCTAGTATCTTCAGGCATTTGTATGACTTGAGCTCGTTGATATTCTCTTCCAGGAAAAGATTGTAGAGGCTCAAGTCGTTGTACCCGTCAGACTTGAAATGCAGCACATCAAACGTAGGCAAGATCTCATACACCTTGAGAACATCCGTCTTCTGTCGGAACGGAACGAGCAGCGTGTAGACGACGACAGGGGCCAGCAGGGCAAAGACCACCATGTTAATCAAGCTGAGAAGCTGGAAGATGCCCACGGCGATGAGCTTGCACTGGAAACGGTCGGGAACAGAGCTGTCGTTCTTCAGGATCCCAGACTTGATGCTGCAGACGAACTCGTCCGACAGGGAGGAGAGGCTGAAGTAATAGCCCAGGTAGGCACACGCCAAAACGATAATCATGAGTGTCAGCACCCGGCAGGTGAGATACTTGACTATTAAATTATAAGAGTTTTTCTTTGTCTTTAAGTACTGCTCCACAATTGGGTACTTGAAGTGGCTTTCAGATATCTCCCATAAACTAAAAGAGAAACAAACTAGAATGTAAACCCTCCTCGGGCCCATCGCATATTAAAAGTACACGCACATTCGGTTATGGGACAATACAAATATCAGAGGCCCCCCTCCCACACTCCTTAAAATGTCCTTCAAGTACAGGTGGGATAAAATCAGGTGTCACTCCCCATGGCCCATGAGCCATAGAGTGCCCACCTATCTTTCCTGCCTCTAGAGGTTAGTGGAGGGGAGCCCTGCTGGGGCAGCAGTTCAAGTCGGGCTGCTAGCCTCAAGGCCAGCGGTGTGAAAGTACCTGCCGCTCTGTGGGAGACAGATGAGGCTGTCTACTCCCACAAAGGGTTACGCTGCCCTGCCAAACTTCTCATCTCGATTTTCCAGTTGCTCCCGCCAAAGTGATCACATCTGTAATTCTTTAAGAGCAGAATGCTTAAATTAAGGCAGATATTCTTTTCCAACTGAGCTCATCTATTGGTTAGCTGAAGGATGACTTCATTCCGGTTCAAAATTTAAAGATTTATCCAGAGTAATATTTTTTGGCAGGGAAAAGAGGTTATCGTCCAACTCCAATGACTCTTTAGAAAGGCTGGATTCCACTTTTCCTCCCTTTTGATCAAGAATCTTCTATAAAATCCTTGATCTAAATGTTGAGTATTAATAAACAAACCAAAAACCCAAACTCACTGCCACTGAGTTGCTTCTGACCGAAAGGGACCCTACAGGGCAGGCAGACCGGCCCATATGGGTGTCTGAGACTCACTCTTGATGGGACTAGAAAGCCTCGGCTTGAGCGGGCACTAGACAGTTCCTTGGTTTCATGGCCAAGGAAGCAGCTGTTTGGGGAGGCGACTAGACACATTTCATTTCCCCCCACCGATTCCTGACCCTCCTTCCTCTGGTGCTCCCACTGAACGGACACCAACTTTTGTGCCTGGACTGGCTGCTCACAAGTTTTGAAGACCCCGGGCCTCTGTGCTTCCTCAATAAGGAGGAGGCCAAAGCAAGCAAGCTATGCGTGTAATGCCTCTTAACCTGTGACCTGTGGACCCTGCTAGAAGTGCATGTGACATGAACTGGAACAGGTAGGCAGGGGTGAGGCATGGGACAGCATTGTTTGCTCCCCAAGACTGTCACTCTACGACTGCCCTTCCCCCCTCTCTTCTGGCAATAGGAATCCCAAGTCAAGCCTGGCAGGCGAAAGGCCCAGGACTGGTACTACAGAGCCTGACAGGATGACGTGCTGGGCTACATTACCTTTGCCCCACGTTCTCGTGAGCAGCTGTGACTGAGCAGGCGCCGTCTCGCATGTCGAGGTCACGGACGCTCTTGGCAGCTTTAATTGCACGGTTGTAAACTTTGTCAAGTTCTTCCATGATGAACTTCAGATCTGAGCAAAGATGAGGAGCAGCTTCGAAACGCCAGAACAGCGAGGGCAGGTACAGGAGGATCGCAAGTAGTAACAGGATGTAGGGGAAAAACTGAGAAAGGAGAGCAACTGGTGAGACTAATGATGACACCCTTCACCGCACACACACACATACATACACGCAAGCCCACGCGCACGGAAGTGACTGAACGTGGCTACTGCTCTCACTTTTTCTCATTTTGAGGCACCTGTGCATTCCCAAAGGAGGCGTGGTAGTACAATGGTTATGCATTGGGCTGAAATCTGCAAGGTCAGCAGTTCGAAACCACTAGCTTGCTCCATGGAAGAAAGTTTTTTCTATTCCCATAAAGCGTGTCAGTCTCAGGAACCCACGGGGGCAGGCAGGGCTGGCCTGCCCTACAGGGTTGTTATGAGGCAGCATTGACTCCATGGCAGTGAGTTGGTTTGGTTTGTGGGATGCCTAGGTTGCCTGTGATAACGGAGCTCATTACCCAGCAGCCACTTCTTATAATTAAATCCACCTGTCCAAGTAACAGCTTCTCATGGGCCCCTTGCCCCGGTATCCCCACAGCAAGCAAGTTTCCTACCTCACGGTCCATATGTCAACCCTCAGAATCCAGCACTGACAGCTTTCTATGACCAAAACTCCCGACTCCCCCTGGATTTACGCCAGCTTCCTGCCCTCTTCCTGTGCCTGGACCCGATGCCGTTAACCACAGTGCTTTCAGCTGTCGACTCGCCCCGGTCACCCCAGATGTGACAGGCCTCCCCTGCCTTGTTGGTCATGCCGCGTGTCATGATTTTCTATTTTGGTTCATTTGGACGAGAATTTACTTGCCGGAAAAAAAGCAAACCGAAAGCAAATCATAGTGGAACGTTTTACATACGTTGGCATCCTCTTACTGTCCAAGCATCAACAAAAGCCGCTCACATGAACGAGTTCGTGAATCTCTGGCCCAAGCACACAGGCAAGCTATCTGATGACGACGCCCTCCGGTTCGTTCTGTTGTTGCTCCCAGCAGCCAGCACACTGGCAACTTGCAAATATTTCTCATGTAGCCATGCAGATTCCCATCACCCAACTGATGCAATTGTATTTCTGTACTCCATAGGCCAATGCTACTTCTGCATGCTTGACTGCTTTCTGGGTATCATGGAGAAGGAACCTGCCGTGAGAACGAACCCATCTTACATTGCTGCTGAGAACAGGCTGGCCCCGGCCACAGAGGGCAGTGAAGAAAGATGGGTCCCAGTGAAGACAAAAAGGTCAGACAGAGACCGACTTGCACGTCTGCGTGTGTGCTCCGATTTCTTAGTGGGAGGGCATAGGGCCACAGTGGAAATGCCCCTGGCAATGTCTGCTAGGTGGCACACGGCTCTGATGAGAAGAGGCTCTCTAGCACTGCAGAAAAGCCAGCACTGTCCCCTCGTAGCAGAATGGAGCAAGATGTCTCCACATATGATGCTAATGATACCAGCAGAGCTGGGGTAGCATGTTGTACCAGCATTTCAGCTCCAATCATGACGGCCAAGGTTGTACCAGATGTCGCCCAGATGCTCCCATCAGGAAGTTCATGAGAATGGGAGTTCTAGCCCTGGCGGTGTAGTGGGGTGTGCATTGGGTTGCTAACAGTCAGGTCAGCCGTTCGAAACCACCAGTCACTCCTGGGGAGAAAGAGGAGGTGCTCTACTGCTGCTTTACAACTCTTTGTATGTTGAATTACTGAATTGTGTGACATACGGATCGTATGCCAATAAAACTGTATTTAAAAAAAAAAAAGGTTTCCGTCTCAGAACCCGGAGGAGTTCTTCCTGGCCATAGGGGTCGCTACGAGTCGGAATCGACTGAAGGGCTGTGAGTGTGCAGTCACTGCCGAGGCAAACAAAGACGTCACACCAAGGCTTCCTGCTAGGTGCAGAGTGGAGGGATGCTATCTTTCACCTACTGGGGCCGAATGACAGCCTCGCCAACAATTCCAGTTTCATTCGACATTCCCAGCCATCGAGCAGCGACTCCACGGCCAACAGCAGGCCCTCAGCAACAAGCCATCTTCCCATCTCATCAGTTTGAACGACTCTTTCCATTGCGGGTTCCAGCGCTCCTAGTGTCCCCACTCTGGACCCCAAGTCTTGTCTTGGTAGCAGATCCCTCTGCTGGTGCCAGAAATCAGATTCTCTGTGAGGGAATCCTTCACTAGTGGGGAGGCCTTGGCAAAAGCTGCACGGAAGGCACTGGAAGGGAAAATCTGGAGAGCCGTAAAAGCTTTGAGGCCAGGTTTAAGGACGGTGCCCCAGGTCTACCACTCAGCCTGAAATGCTCAGTCCCGACTCACCTCCACAAGCTGTTCCCTGCAGGGCCAGAGACACACCCATGTGCCCCGCTCTCCAGCCCTTCGTCCCCCCTTACTGCCCCGGTGCGCCATGGAGCCGTTTAAAGTGCACAAAATAACGCATGCAGAATCACAAAGGAAGCAGTGCTGACAGAAGACCACCCAAAGGTTATGAAACCAAGTGGTGCTTCTTGAGTAGCCCGGTGACTAGGAGCTGACTGACAGAGGGTCCAGGAACAGGGGTAACCTGGAAGCGGGGCTCTTACTGTTAGCTGCTGTCCAGCCAATCCCCAGCTCATGCCCACTCAAAGCTGCGTGACCCCCACTGCTGGCTGCAGAGCAAACCCCTGGGATCCAGACTTCTCACAGGAGGGCTTTAGAAGGAGGTTGCCAGGCCTTTCTTCCTAGGCTCGGCCGGGAAGCACTGCTGATTCCTGTTCCGTGTCACAGCACGGGAAAATCCCCACCGACAGAAGGTTGGTGGCTGTGAGGAGGTTCTTCCACCAGACCTCTGGCAGGGAAGGAAAGAAGGCTACCACGGAATCGCCGCGGTCTCCGAACTTCCAGGTAGTGGAAAAGAAAAGACCCATCTGATTGCTAGGGATTTGCGATTTCTAGGTGTGACAAAGTCACAACAGCACAACTAAACAAACTCACTGCCACGAGTTGATTCCAGCTCACAGGGGTCCTATCAGGCAGGGTGGAACTGGCCCTGTGCGGTTCCCAGACGAGCTCTTCATGGAGTTGGAAACCTCGTCTTTCTCCGTGGAGCGGCTGATGATCGCACACCGCAGACCCTGCATTTGGCAGCTAAACAAGTACCCTACGATGCCACCAGCACTCAGACACTTCAAATACCAACGTGGATGCCTAGAGGTATAGAGTTTTTTGTGTTACGCTTTAGGTAGAAGTGAACGTTTGCTAAATTACCCTGGCTATTTGCTAAATTGGCATGGCCATTACCCCATGGACAAAGGCAGACCTGCCTTTTGTTCTTTTCCTAGTCCCAACCCTCAGCCCCCAAGGAGAGAGAGAAATAAGCACAAATCGACCAGGCGGGCCCTAGGCCCTGGAGTTTGGCATGGGGTGTGGTTGTAGCAAACATTAACCCGTGTGCAAACGGCTGCCCCACACCGACCCACAGAGCAGGCTGCGTGCGCCCTGCGGGGAGAGACGCCCCTTCCTACAGGAGGTGGCCATGTGTGGCAGACTGGTGCTGCCCCCGCCACCGACTGAGCCACGAATTTTCTCTGGGAGCCACAGGAGAAGCTATTTCTGGTTTGAGGGGAGGCAATTTTTTTTTAGGCTCAATTTATTTCTAAGCCCTCTGAATAATAGCATTCTACCTCAAACTGTTCATCAGAATTAAAAAGTGGCCATTTACACTGTGTGGTAATTTTTCCAACCCAAGTGGTGCAATGAGGTCTACTGAGCAGCTACCTCCCTGTAATTAGAAAAATGAATGTTTAAAGGCATTATACATTGCGAGTTTGCTCTCTCTTGAAATATTCTCAGACCTTGATGGCTCTATAGGAATGTCACTGAAGGGCCCATTTCTTGCTTTTCTCGGGTTAATCCCTGTCACGTCCCATTAAAAATAAAAAGGCTATGTTCAGGGAGCCTGTAACAAGGTGGTATTAAATTAATTCAACTGACAGAGGAATCCAAAAAGGCATTAAATTATTGTCTTTAAAATATCCCTGTTTTTTCTTTTCCAAATAAGGAGCAGAGGGGAGAAGAGGGGACCATGAGGATACATCTGCTGCAGGGAGACTGGCTTTGTGGGTAAGCGTCGTCTGCCTCAAATTGAGATGCTTCCCCCACACTCACTGCCATCAAGTTGACTGACTCACAGTGACCGTATAAGACAGTAGAAGTAGCTGCCCCTGTGGGTTTCCTAGGCTGTACATCTTTACAGGAGCAGAAAGGCTCATCTTTTTCTCAAGGAGAAGCTGATGGTTTCGAACTGCTGACCTGGAGGTTCCCATCCCGAAGCATAACCCGTTAGGCCAGCATCCTTTCATCCTGGCAGCAGTATTCCACACAAGGCCCACGTCAGTCCTGAGCTCTTAAGACGGCCGTGGAGCCTCTTACAGCAACGTGGCGGCCAGCAGTTGGCACACTTTGGAGTCTACCTGCTTCCATCCTGTGGGCAGTTTCTGGAAATGGCTGGAGTGAGAACCAGAGACTCTAGCTGGTGGTGACCTGGTCGTTAACCTAACACATCCTTCTGAGAACAAGAGACTTTAGCTGGTAGGAACCTGGGCGTTAATCTAACACACCCTTATTCTGAAGTGTAAGCCTTCTCTACCTCATTCACGGCAAAGAGCCCTATCATGAGGACTGAACAATTCTCCCCCTCACATGTATGTAATCAATGCTCACTGCATTCATCCTCGATGCGTAATGTTCCTTCGATACTTCCTCTGGGCTGTGGGTTGACGAGCAGTGGGTGGGGTGTGCGGCCCCCACATATGAACTGTACAAAGTCAGCCCAAGGTCACGCGGGCCGAGGAGGAACACAAGTAAACAATGATTCATCCAAGCATCAAAGTGACAGCCACACACTAGGTCCTAAGCAGTAATGGAGTCCCTGGAGAGGTCCAGGAAGGCTTCATAAAAGAAGTGACAGCTAAGGTGTGTCTCAGACTGCTGAGACCAAAAGTTTAAAAGCCTCAGCTCCTCTCACTTCCTCTCCGGCCCTGGGGAAGGCACCTCGCGGCTATTCAACCCCACCAGCTTTGCTGTCCTACCCGGTCAC